AAATCCTAAATCCCTAACCCGAATCAGTTAACACCGCCATTGCCAGCCACGACCACCATCGTCGATGTAGTCCTTGTCATTTTCCTAGTCATACGCTGCCATACTTACTGCCGATTGGTCGTTGGGATCTCGTGGGATTGCGATTTGCTGCGAATGGTTCATCGAGGTACTAAGTTCGATTGGTCGCGATTTCATAGGATTATCGATCATTGGGTGAAGGTGAGATTAGGTGGAGTTTTGTCGATGGCAAAGGGCGATGACTGGTGTGGGTTTAGAGGTTTTCAAAGCGTTTTCAAAGTTATGGAGTTTTTTAAAAGTATTTCAAAAATTGTGTTTTTTTAAAAATATATAATTTTAATTTTAAAAAATTTAAAATAAAAATTTAAAATTAATACAATGTGACACATATCCTTTAACGGCATAATTTAACAACATTTATAATCCGAGCATCTAAAATGGTAACGTTTGTAATGTTAGACATCTGAATGATTCAAAAAAAGTTTAAACATCTATTTGGAAAAAACAGTATAGTTTGGATATTTATTTAATAATTAAACCATTGCTTTTTAAACACTATTTATTTTAAAGTTAAACAATTTATTCCCTCATTTTCCAATCCTAATTTCGACCCGACTAAGATCACTTTATTCATGAAAAATATAAATTAAATATTTATAAATATCATGAAAAATTCTACACCGCTCATCACATACTGCAAAAATTTGTAAATATCAAAATACACCATAACAAAAATGTATCCTTATTATGTAAATATAAAAAATATTAGATTTTTTAAAAATTAATTATTAATTAAAATTTATTTTATTTTTAATAAAATTATAATAAAATAATAATTAATTTAAATAAATTACTTCGTTCAGAATTAAAATTTATAAATTATTTAAATAAGAATGACCATTAATAATAATCACCGAAGAATTTAACTCGTCGAAAAACACATCAAAAAATATCTAACGTGACCGTTTGTTCATCACCCGATTTTCATCGCCCAACAGCACCCAACAGCCGTACAATAGTCGGCCGCTCACGGTGAGGTTGATTTTTAATTTTTAATTTTGAAATTACATTCCAAACCCCTTCTATTATGTTTTATTTTTAATGGTTAAATTCATTAAAAAAACCCATCGTTTGTCATATTTATATTTTAAGACAAAGGCACGTTTATGTTTTAATATACATAGTTAAATTACACTATCGGCCCCTATACTTTTTGTTTTAATTTAAATGGTCAAATTAATTGCAAACCCTCTCCCTTTCCCCTATTTAGATTTTACACTTCTAGGTTTTAAATCTTCTATAATTTATAGTTTATTTTTATTTTGATAATTAATTTTGAATTTACTATTTGATTTTAATTAACAATATTACTAATAAATTATTTTATTCATTATTTTTTATTAAAATTAATTTCATATGATTTTATATTATTTATTGTCATTAATGTTAATAATTTGATACTTAATTTTACTTGATATTAATTGTGATTATTTGAATAATGATAATGTCACAACAACCTTTTGCGGGCCGATAACAAATTTTAAAAAAATGTTATAAAAAATGAGAGTTGCCACCAATCATTTTTAAAGTGGATTGAACCACATAAAATCGGGTAATATTAAATAAAATATTTTATTTTATAAAAAATACCCAGTTTTGTATGTGAAATCATAAAATGAGTTCGGGAGTCGATTACGTGCGGAGAAGGATTATCATCCCCACAATGCCAAAAATCGGTACCTAGTTAATTACAAGTGGTTCTAAAATTGAAAATTATAAGTTCAAGATTTTATTTATTTTTTGGCCCATTATGTATGCAAATTTAAAAAGGGTATTTATGTAATTAAGAATTAATAATAATTACACCGAGCACGAGCGGAGGTTTACCATTAATCTCATCACATAAATATTGCCTTAATTTTAAAAACATGATGAAAGAATTTGAAAAGGATATCAATTTATTTCAGGAGATAATAACGGTCATCCCATATCACAAATAGATGATACATTATTAAAACCCAAATAAATCAACATTGCCTTATTTTTTGAAACAAAATTATGCAATTAAACAACCTATTATTGACCTAATTATGCTAATGGGTTAATCAAGGCTTCATCTAACTAAAGTGTCAAATTATGTATTTTAAAGGACCTAATAAGACTAATCCTAAAATTGAAGTTCTAATATTAAACCTAAAGATCTTAATATTTATTTAATTAGTTAAATTAATTAAAAATTACAAGAGACTAAAACTAAAATAAAGGCTTCATCTAAGAGTAAATTATTTAAAGAACCCAAACCAGGCTCTAAATATTAACCCTAAATAACTTTTAATACTTTAATCAAATAATTAAAAAAAAACCCAAGAAAGACTATTTAAAAAGATTCCCTTAATCACTGAGTGAGGACCTATTTAAAAGAAGTAAACATCTAAATGTCTAATCTAAACCAATCATCCCATTCTAGGACCAAATATTGCGAGTACGAAATCACACATTAAGATCAAATAAATACCAAAAATAAAGAATAAAGAAATGAACGAATCATACATCTAAATAGACCAATTAACAGATTAAGCAATGTAAATGAATAAGGAAATATAATAAAAAAACAAGAAGCGAATGAGGAAAGCAGGAGCATGACTCGCGAGCATTCGAAAAGAAATTTAATTTTTAAAGAAAGTTAACTCCCCAAAGTAAACACATTGCTGATTTTCAGGGAGCAGTTTCGAAGGGAAAAGAATGGGTGAATCTAAAACAGAGTCAAATTAGGAGCCAAATTCGAAGGACGTCCGCCGTCGTTCATCGGCGGCAAAATCAAATCTTTTGTATATCGTTCGAAAGCTCTTTTTTCCCTCTTTTCAAATATTTCTATGGTTTTCATCGAAGTGCCTTGAGGAGTGATAGATCTGAGAAAGATCAATCGATTCTCCTCCGTTCCTCGGCCCCTCTCCACTGATGGGTTTTCAAAAAACGTGAACAAGGAAGGTTGAAGGCCAAACGGCCATGCATGCAAGTGAAGAAGACCACAGAGAGAAAATATCTTCTTTTTTTTTAATTTCTGTTCTTTCAAAGTTTAAAGCTTTTTTGTGATTCCATCTAACCTTCTTTTCTTTTATTTTTGCAGGAATTTATAGACTTAAGGATCCTGTTTTGTTCGGTTTAGAGTTTCCCTTGGACTAAAACGCTATCCTTTTTCTGTTTTTGCTTGATTTTCTCTAAAAGAGATTATCTTTTTTTCATGATAAAAAATCTGAAAAGTTGGCCTGATGCTTGTTGCGGCTAGAATGAGGACTCTCTAAAAGCCCTAAGGATGCTCTCAATCTTAACCGTCAGATGGACAAGATCATGTGGCGTTGATATATAAGAGAGAAACCCTAATTCTCATGGGACCTTCTTCTCCATTGGACCTCAACTGTTGGGTTGTTGCATTGTTTTGGATTTGGAATTTTGTAACCACTTCTTGTATTTGGGCTTGTAACAATGAATTGAATAGAGTGTTTAGTACCCATTTATTACTATGATCAAATACATATATGGACACTTAATTAATAATAATATTGCTATAAATAAATAAAAATAATATATATAATAAATAGATAATAGATACTTAATTTCGGATGACAATATGTGTCTATATATAATATTAATTTTGATACGTAAACTTTTGTATTGATCATTAATTTCAATTTTGATTCTTAATTTTATCTTACTATTCATTTTTATCATTGCATTTGATTAAATATTGATATTAATCACAATGAATGTACATCAATATTGATATTTTTTGAATTTAAATCGAAATGTCGTTTACACACCATTTTTTATTGTTAAAATCAAATGCAATGATATTATTAATTATCAAATTATTAAAATTAATGATAACAAATAACATAGAATGATATGAAATTAATGCTACTAAAAAATAATAAATAAAATAAATTATTAATATTGTTAATTAAAATTAAAGAGTAAATTTGAAATTATTTATCAAAATAAAAACAAAGTACATATTATAGAAGATTTAAAACCTAGAAGTGTAAAATCTAAACGGGAAAAATGAGATGGTTTATATGTAATTTGACCATTTAAATTAAAACAAAAGTATTGGGTTGAAAGTGTAATTTAACCATGTATATTAAAACATAAATTTGACTTTGTCTGAAATATAAATAGGAAAAACTATGGGTTTTTTATGCAATTTAACCATTCGAAATAAAACATAAATGGGAGGGGTTGGAATGTAAATTTACCATTCAAAATTAAAACTCATCATCTCCGTGCAATTCAATGGAAACAGGGAGGGCGCCGGCCGACTTCTGCACAGCTTTTCCTGGGCGACCGACTATTGTACGGCTGTTGGGTGACTGTTGGACGTTGTTAATTCGGGCGATGACAAATGGTCATATTAAATTTATAATATAATATTTTTTAATGAATTTTTTGAAGTGTCTTTCAGCTCGACAGTGACAATTGTTGATGATTATTTTTAACTTAAATAATTTATAAATATCAATTCTAAATAAATTAATTTACTTAAATTAATTATTATTTTTTTTAAAAATCATTATTTAATTATAATTATATTAAAAATAAAATAAAATTTTAATTAATGATTAATTTTAAAAAATAATAATTTTTAATATTTATATAATAAAAATAAATTAATTGTAATATGTTTTGATATATTATTTTAGTGGTAGATTACGATAAGCTATCATAGTATCTTACAATTTTATTGGGAGACGTTTCTTATTTCTTTAGTGTTAAGATTCCTTGCCAACCTTTCCATCTATGGGTAGAAAATATATAGTATTGTCGTTGGTGGCGGTGATCTTTCTATCGCCACTGACAGCCAACCCGACACTGACAACAACAACAACGTGTCACCGACAAATTCGTGTTCTTAAAGCAACGCTGTCTCCATAATATTCTTCAACCATGCTAAGAAATTTACATTAGTTACGACAGATTATTTGTCTATTAAGATTGAAAGGAGAAAATATTCAAAACCCTCCATTTCTTCTTTGCTTCTTATTCGCCACAATCATTTCTCCACCACTCTTTCAGCCATTTTTCATTACAGAAAAAAAACTTTTTTTTGTTTCCTAAAGAATATTTTTTTTTCATTTCCTCGTGAGTCGAAAGACTAACATTAGAGGGCGGAGAGGGAGACGGGAGCAGTGGGTTATATAATCATGAGTCGTCGTCTCTTTGCCTGTTTTGGTGGGGGTTCATCGAAAAAGGGAGTCCATGCAAATGGGAAAACCAATGGAACAGTGGTCGAAGCAGCGGTGGGTGATGGGCCAGTCCTGGTGGAGTTGTTCTCTTCACAGGGATGTGCGACATCGCCAGCGGCGGAGTTGCTTTTGTCAAGGCTAGGGAGGGGGGATTTTCAGCTGGATACGCCGTTTATTGTGCTGGCTTATCATGTTGATTACTGGGATTACATGGGGTGGAAAGACCCTTATGGCTCGAGCCTATCAACTGTTCGACAGAAGGCTTATGTTGAGGCATTGAGGCTTGACACCATGTTTACGCCTCAGGTTGTAGTTCAAGGCAGGGCTCAGTGTGTGGGTAATGATGAAGATATTTTGTTATCCACCATTTCCGGTGCTCCCAGGTTCCCTGCACCATCATTCCAGGTATTGAATTTTTTAAATAATATCTATGATTTGATGGCCTTCTTTTTTTTCTATTGAATTGATGAATTCTAAATCTAGCCCTTTGTTAGAATCTGTTTTGCTTATTCTGATCTGAAGATCCCAAAAAGTAATTGTGGAAATAAATTAAGATTTAATAAAATTAGTAATTTAGTCAGGGGATCCTCTGTTGAATTAAACAATTATTAATTCATGTCATGAACTTGAAACTTGAAACTTGAAACTTTTTGTAGGAAATCATGAATCAATAACGGAATACATATGTTCTCTTAGTTATAGTTATCAAGATCAAATCCAGATAACATCATCTATCAAAAGAATATAATATATCTTGGAGGATGGATTGCCAGAAATATAATAATAAACAGAAACAAATATGAATTCTGGTTTTACTTTTCATTTTCTTGAAGTATCTGTTACGATTGATATTTAGATATTAGTATGTAGACAAAACCAGACCATTTAAACACATAAAAAGTGGATAAAATATTCGAATAAGAAATAGACATGGATCCAGTACCTACACCCAAAGGCTATTAGAGATTGGCTCCTTCTCCTCCATCCCTCATGTTTTTTGCCAAGGGCATTAATCACCTTCAAAATATATCCATGGTCATATATATTTTCCATTTTCCTTTTGCTAATGTAGTTAAACTGCAAGACCAAGGTAGCCATTCCTTGAAAACAAATCTTTTTCATCAAATACTCTGCCTCCTAAGCTAAAGTCACAAAGCGGTCCGGTCTCACCCGATACTTATGCTTGTCTTCTATACATGAAAAGTAGATCGTGTCTAGGGAGAGCATTATTCGGTTTAAACTGGTTTAACTGACCAAATCAACCATATTTGGTTAGTTTGTTTGTTTTTTTGGTTATGAATTAATCGTTTATGAAAATCAATTCATTCAGTTAGCTCAGGTACTGGTTTTCACAATTGATAACTGAATAGATTAATCTGACATACAATTCTGATATTTAATTGATTCTAAGAATGTTTCAACTGAAGTGTCTAGTTAGCTAGGATAGTGAAGATCACTCCATGCACTTCGTGTTCATGTTCATCCTCATCTTCATTGACAAGAACAAATTCTTCTGAGATATATAAAGAGAACTAAATATTGTCTGAAACAGGCTAATTTCCAAAGGCCTACATCAGAGTCATTGCAAGTGACCCTAACAGGAGCTTTGAGGTCTAAAGTAGACAACAATGGTGCCAATGTAATGGTGGCATTGTATGAGAACGGATTGGTGAATGACTGCCCGGCAGGAGAGAACAGAGGGATGGTCTTATCCAATGATTTTGTTGTTAGAAAGCTTGAAAAACTCTGCACCGTCAAAGACATAGCCGCCAAGAAGACGGTCTCAGGCACCGCTACATTCACTCTATGGGATGGTTTCAACAGCGAAAAATGTGCTCTTGCAGTCTTTGTTCAGAACAGCTCCCACCAAATTTTTGGCTCACAAAAGTTTGAACTGCCAAATGACTTGTGAAAAATACAGAATCAATGAATTATTTTGCGGAATTCATCCATACACTCGTTAGTGTTCAGAAGATTTAGGGTTTGAATCCTGGCATTTGCGCTTCTTTTTCTATTTTGTATAAAAAAACCTTGAAGTATTGTGCCATTGGCACATAGTTTTACTCAAATTTTCATGTATAGGATGTGTTCTACTTTAGGTATTGATTTCTTTTCCCTATGATTTGCTTTTCTTATTTCCTGGTTTCATGTTCTAGGATATGGAGATTGGAGAGGCATTTGCATTCAGTATATGGATTCTGTTTTAAACACTTCACCATATTCTTTTATAATTTAACCTCTGTTAACCATCATAGTTGACCATTTTTTTGGATTGTTGAAGGTAGGGAAAGTAGAAATAGCAATAAATATATATACAAAAAAGATAGGTTAATTAGGACCCCAACTGCTCAAATAAATGACTGTTCTAAGTGATTCCTCAGATTTCAACTTATCATCTTTCTTTGACAAATCAGAAGATGGAACATAGGTTTTCTTAGCTTGTGTAGAAGAAGAAGATGGAGATCTGATATTGTTATTGGCATGCCTTTGAATTGACCTTTGAGCATGAATCAATCTACAAATTGCTTGATCTTTCAGTGCCTCGATAGCTCCGATGCTTGCTGCTGCAATCCATGCTCTTGTCGAGGAACTCATGTTTTTTTTTCTTTTCTTTTGTGCTATACTATTGGATGTAATGGCTGTTTTTGCTTTGTTGAAGCAAATGAAAGGGGTGGATGAGACTTATATAGATAGAATTTGGGGCCGGGGGGGGGGGGTGGTACCTAATAAACCAAAGGAAAAGGCTAATGGTTTGAACTTTGAGGTAGTGGATGGCGTAGGTTTTTGGTCTAATTATCCCCTCTTCTATGTTGAAATTAAAAGTTCAATCACTCTAATTTTGCATGTTTTATCATCTTTTTACTTTTAGTATGTTATAGGTAGATCTAAATTCATAACATTAACTTTTGTTGTTACAGTGATTATATGGAGTACTTTTACACGTGTGTCGTATGATTTGAGGGTTTTTTTTTTCTTTTTCTAAATAAAAAATCATTAGGGAAGTACACATGACTCAAACCCGACAATAAAAAATTAATCTACAAGCACTCATACTTTTACATTTAGTATGCAAACTTAAGTGTATTATTTTTGTTTTAATATCATAGGAATTGTGTATTTGAATACACTTAAGTTTGCATTAACCTCTTAAATACGAGTGATTGTGGACTGTTTAGACATAACATAAAAAATGTATGTGTAAATTTTAACATAGTAAAGGGACTTAAACGATATTAAACCAAGAAAAAAGTTAATGGTTCGATGGGCCGGTCACTAGTGATATTGTGATAAAATAAATGGTTTTAATTTGTATCCTACAATGAAGCAATAATAGTAAAAAAGTGACGAAATCTCCGAAGATAAGATTTTGGCCCCTTTGGATTTGGGGGGAATGAACCCTTCACATTTCACATCCCATTTATATATTTTCTATTACACCTTTCCATGAATAAGGAAATGTCAATGTAACATTGAGAATTGGATTGCTTGTTATTGAGGCTAATATTTATATCATGATATATTTTAAGTAATATTTACAAAAATACTTGAGACATCAGTAAGAGTGTAGTTCTTTTTAAGATTCTTCATATCTATCTTAAGATTCATGCTTGAAATTTATAATTGTATCTTCATCTTTAAAGTTTGAACTTTGTTGCTCTCTTTGGAGAAATTGTTTTATGGACTCGACTCATATCTTCATCCACGATCCCAATGAATCAGATCTATCAATTTTAAAATAACTACTCAATCCTTATTTAGACGTAAAAAAATGTAAAGATTCACCTTGAAAAAAATGAAATGAACAAATATTATTAGTTGGGACCGTGGATATTGTGATGAACCAAGTTCATCTTGTAACACCCTAAATTCCAGAGTAATAGTTTCACATTTACCTGAGAGGCTTGGGGACCCCGTGATTTTTCAGAATTAAATTCATTGGATTGAATTGGGCTTAATCAAGTTAGAATTTAGCCTAATTAGTCATAAATGGGGTTTTTTTAAAGTATAAAAAGACGATGAAGGTCCTATGGTGCGATTTTCTCATTTTAAAAAGATGAAGCCTTTTTATATCTTTCGTTTCATTCTCCTCCCTATTTCTTCCATTTTCCTTCTTCTTCTTCCTCTCTAAAGGCCAAAACTAAATGCGAGTATTTTGAGCCATTCTTACATCTTTTAAGCTTCAATTTTGTTCCTAATTCTTCCAACAACATCGTTTAGTGATTCAAGCCATGGGTTTTCAAAGCTAAAGAGAAAAGTTGTGGGAAATCAACCAAATCATAGTGGAAGGGTGTGTGGCTAAGCAAGGAGTTCTATTTCAGGATTCAAACATCACAGTAGTGTATTTCTAATCCTTTGGTGCGTTAAGGTTTTTATAAGTATAAAGATTTGCTAGAATTTGAGTATTTAAGCATTTTAGGGTTTATATTTGATTTATAATCAAATGGCGTGTTAGAGGTAAATAAGACATTTTTATGCCACTTTATAACTTTAAGTAACTCTCTAAAGCTTTAGCACATGATTAGGAACAAAACTATGGCCTTTAGAGTGATTTTGGGTGTTTTCCCGAGCCTAAATAAAATATTTCTAGATTCAAGTATCGATACTGGGATGAACAACATTAGTACTGTTGAATTGGGGTAAAACTTAGAGTTTCCAGCAAGGGAGTATCGATACTGATGGGGAGATTATCGATACTGCCCTTACAATATCAACACACAGGGTGAAAATATCAATATTGGGCTTATTTTTTAGAAACAAAATGCATTTTTGGTATCGATACTCATAGGAGTATCGATACTTGGCCTTATGGTATCGATACTGCAATTAGAATATCGATACTACTTACCTTGGAAGGTTATAGTTGGCATCTTTAAGGCCCGTAAGAGCGAAAGATGATATGTAATGGCAGACCTTAGTCTGTGAGGAATGTAAATAGCCAAAAGGGCCCAAATACACTCGTAGGAGTGGGTTACAACTGAAGTAACCATAGTATGCGTAACATGCTCAAGTTTCTTCAGTCGAGAACGTAGCGAGTATCTAACAATGATGAATCATTGCTGGGGATACACCAACCAACAATATGACGAATTTATCAGATTTTGAGATAACATAGTCGTGAACTACAGGATTGCTAGCAAATGGTGGACGTACAGTCATCCATCTATTTCGAGGGTGAATTGAGGGAAAGCATAGTAAGAGCGAGTAGAGTATCGCAACTCAGAGTTGAAATCGAGTCAGGTATCGAGCTAGAAAATAATACAGTCAGTGAGCAGCAACCATAGTGATCGTTGTAAAATCACGAAACGCGTATAGACTTCCTTAGAGATAGGGAATGACTAAAATGACCTTAAGTAGAGAACAACCAGAATAGAACAACGAAAAAATTAATAGCAGTAACAAACTAGTAAGCCTTCGCATAACGTTCTAGATGAGATAACAAGCGAGATAGCAACTAGTGAGATGATAACCTCACTTTAGTGAGTCCGACTATGCTAGGGTATACCTAGGTTACCTTAGTTGCCCTAGTGGGGAATTGTTAGTGCGCGAGGCACTTTAGAGGCTAACTAGAGCATGAGGTCCGAACACTAACGAGGAGTGGGTTAGCGATGTTAGTGTTCTATGGACTTGGGACCCTTAGATGTGTGTGTATAGTTGCATCAATCTAGTACGACAGATGGTCGACCGTCTTGTGTGTACATCTTGTTGTTAAAATATTCAAATATATCAACACAAGTGCGCGAGGTACTTCCCGGTTAATTTGGGTGTGAGGCCTAACACTCACAAGTGGTAGGTTAGTCAGTTTGTTAGAATATTTGGATACATCTACTCGAGTGTGCGAGGCACTCTTATGTCTAATCAAGTGCGTGAGGCACTTCAGTGGCTAACTTGGGCGTGAGGCCTAACACTAACGAAGGGTGGGTTAGCCGAGTGTTGTTTTTGATGTAGAATTTTTGATCTTACCGTAGGTAGGCTGGAGGGGTGTGAGTCCCAAGATGCTATGTGACCCTTCGATTACACCATGATGCCTACCCTTGTTTGTATATCAATTTTGTTGAGTCGCATTTGGATAATGTTGAGTCGAGTCAAAGTCGCATTTAGATAATGCAAAGTAGTTGCAATCAGGCTGGGTAGAGACCCTATAGAGGTGTACTCAGGGCGATGCCCTTAGCAGAGGATTAAGGCAAGTATGAGATTCCTACTTCATCGATAGAACAATAAGACATTTAGTAGGTAGCACTTGATCGAGGTCATGCATTTACCTTATTGCTTAGTATCATATCTTTAGCACACTTATATTTATGAAACTTTTAATGATGCTCTAGATTAGCGATTATACTATTCAGCTTTGTAAGCTCAGTCTTCGGATGTTTTTCGTTGGCAGGTTGTTAGCTTGAGTTGTTCGTGGAGCACCGTTGTAGTAGGACTTCCAGTACCTCCTTTAGAGTACTATACTTGTAACCCCCTAGACCCGACCTATGCGTTTCGACTAAGTCTAGTGGATCACATTCATGATTCTTAAAGACATTATTCCGAAACCGTTATTTTATCAACGTAAAATCATATTTATAAATGACATTTATGAAATTATAATAAATTATACTATAAAAAAACAACTCATAATTATGAGAAAAATTAACAAGTTAATTAAAACATGTCTTAAAAATCCAAATTTCAATAAACCAATATAAATTAGCAAAAGGAGTACTCATTATAAAATCCAATACTTTTAAAATAAGGCCCATGTTACCATAATAGAGTTAACTTAAAAGATAAAACATTACAATACGATATACTTCAAGAGATATATTGATCCTCCAAGTGCTTGATCCGAGTATCTAACCAACAGTATCTGGAAAGGGAAAATATTTTCGAAAAGTGAGCTAGGCTCAGTGTGTCCCAATAGTACAATAAAATCATAGTAGGTACAGTAAATGAGTAATAGTTCAGAAATTCATCATCAAACCATAATGAAGTTTAACTTTTGAAACTCGTAATTTAAAACCCTTCTCCTGTACACCATCCGCAATTCCCCAGAACTGCGTCCATAGAGCTTACCTTAAGCACTCAGCAGAAAGGAAACCAACCTAAGAATAGGCTTTAGTGCCTGTATCCTTAAGTCCGTAAGTCCGTAGGGCTTACCCTAAGCACACAACAAAGGGAGCCAACCTAATGAAGCATCTTGAGGCCCGTGGGCCTACCCAAGAGTCACATTAGGTCCATAAGGTTTACCAGCTTGATCAAAGCTGTACCTCCGTAAT